TCCTCTTGAGCTTGTGAAATGCCCCTGCCAGTCTCCTAGTCGCTTATGTCAGAAAGCTGGGACTTTTCTCTTACTTATGACTCTCCCGTCTTCAGCACTCACAACCAGTCCGTCTCCAGTTTTAACGGACTTTGCTTGTTACCTAGTTCCCCAGGGAACCCTTTTGTGCCCAGTGACACTGCCCTAGACCTGGTCTTGGAATTTTCTCATGGCTTTCTAAGTGTACTTCCTGCCTTTGTTTATTTCACTGGTAACATACTATTATTTGAATACCTTTACTTTATATCAACGTATTTGAAGTAAAAACTAAGATAGTAAAGAATTTTTCTTTCTTTCTTTCTTTTTTTTTTAAAAGATGACCAGTAAGGGGATCTTAACCCTTCACTTGGTGTTGTCAGCACCACACTCTCCCAAGCGAGTCAACTGGCCATCCCTATATAGGGATCCGAACCTGTGGCCTTGGTGTTATCAGCACCACACTCTCCCGAGTGAGCCACGGGCCGGCTCCAAAGAATTTTTCCATAAGCATTGTTTTAGTATATAAAGTGTTGCATTGTCACATTATAAAACATATTATATTATGTCAAAATTGAATATCCCATTGTTGTACATTGGTTTTGAGTAATTAATATTATGATACCTAGAGCTTATGGCTTTATAATATTTAAATTTATAAAAACTTGGGAAAGAATAGTAAAGTTCAATAAAATGTTTATGTGAAAGGTTCTCACTTTAATTCATTGGTGGATGGTTTTACTGAATATGTGCTAGAACAAAATCCCAACATGAGTTATTTTTATATGGGAATGCTTGTCTTTTTACATATTGATCTGTAATGCTTTAAATGTAAACAATAAGATGAATACTCAAAACTCAGGCTCTAACCAGAAGCATCTTTATTTTGCACCTCTGCTTGCTGGGAGCAGTCTTTTCCCTGTTCATGCATGAAGACTCTGGCCATCTGTTTCTTTTCTTCTTTGACTCATTGTCTATTTGGGAGTGTGTTTGTTTGTTTGTTTGTTTGTTACATTTTGTTTTTTGTTTTTTTGTTTTTGGTGGCTGGCCGGTACAGGGATCTGAACACACACCTTTGGTGTTATAACACCACTCTCCAACCCTCCAACCAACTGAGCTAACAGGCCAGCATAGGAGTGCATTGTTTAATTTCCATATACTTGGGATTCCCCAAATTTCCTTTTATTGTTGATTTCTACTGTCATTCCACTGTGGTCAGAGAACATATCCTACCTGATTTCAATCTTTGTCAATTTGTCAAGGCTTGTCTTGCGGCCTCACATGTGCTCTATCCTGGAGAACATTCCATGTGCCCTTGAGAAGAATGTGTGTTCTGCCCTTGTTGGATGGACTGTTCTCTAGATGTTTATTAGCCAATATCTTCTCAGCTCAGGCTCAGGTAAAACAATTTTACAGTCACTATAATTCACAGCCATAGTCTCAGTAGAAACTAGAATGCCTAGTACCCAGAACCAATGTAAACACTAGACTGTCCTCGTACTCAACACACTCCCACCCTCACTGCAGCCCACCTTCGTGACTGCTTGCGCTGCTCAGAAAACCTCCTTCCTCACCTGGTTATCTCAGTTATCCTTCAGACCTCATGCTGACCAGAGCCTCCTCAGGAAAGCTTTCCTCCTCTGCCCCTCTCCACAACAAGCCAAGTTCCTATCAGTGATTCTTACAGCACTTTCCAGTCATTTTCTCATTTTTTTATTTGCTTAATGGCTATCTTTCCCCTACGTGTGTAAATTTCAATGGGCAAGGAGATGGATTTTCACTCTCGTTATTGTGTTTCCTTATTCCACACATAGCAGGTACTCATAAAATGTTGTGGAAGGAATGCATGAATGAACAAATGAATGATAGAAGGAAAGAAGGATCTGAAGGACAAAAAACAGTGCAAGGTCTGAGTGTTTTAGTTGTAAAACATCACCACTAGATGGCAGCAATGACCAGCACCAAGGTAGTTGAAACCTCTGAGGAAAACACCTGAGTTTAAGACGGTTTGGATTTGCAGGGCTCCTCAAGGGTCCTACCCTTCCCCACAGGACCCTTCTTCATTCATTTCCATTAGCCATCCTGACTGACATGAGTAATCCAGGTGTGTGCGTGTTTTGGGCAGCAAGTAATGGAAACCCCAGCAAATGGCAGCTAACAATGGTGGAGAGGTATATTTTTCTTACAAAAAAAAAAGGCCCAGGGCTGATGTAGCTGCCTGGGGATATCCTCAGGAAACCAGGCTCCTTCTCATGATGGAATGGTTAAATGAACCTAATTAATATATCTATCACCTCACCTCTTCATCTGGTCACTTTTGTTCCTAATTTTGTGTTTGTAATTTTGTGTCCTTTTTCTTAAACAGGGCCATAAAAATTTAAGTTCCAGGCTCCACAGAAGCTGAATATGCCCCTGGCTGTTCTGGAAATGCCTTGGGTGTGCAGGAGAAGGGCCTGAGAGGTCAGTGACTTCCTCTCCATCAGCTCCAGGGTCCTCGCCAGCAGTGTGTTGAGGTTCATGTGGGACACAGGCCGCTGGTGGAGTTCGCCCCTTCTCTTGGCCGTAAGTGACCCTGCACGCTTATCCACTACATTTGAAACAAGCAATGGCTGCTTTATTTTCTGAAATTCAACTTAATTTCTGACCTCAACGTTGTTTTCCTCCCAGCTGATAGAAAGTTGGCCTCATTTCTGGGGCTCTCCCCACTGAGGGTTGGGCCATGGTTTTGAGACTCCTGATACCTGGGATTTTGCCATGCTTTCAAGATTATGATGATGCCAAAGAATAGGGGAAGGAGGGTCTGGTCAGCTGTGAAGACCATTGTCTGCATCTCCATGGCCTCTTGGAGTTCCCCACCACACTTGGGTCAGGGGACTTTTCAGGGAGTCTCCCTGTATTCCCATCTGCCCAGATAAGCCCAAGCTATTCTGGGATGTGGGACCTACTTCCCTCTTTACTCAGGGCCTATAGACCTTTCCTCTCTCATTTTCTCCATCCCAAATCTCAAATCCCCATCCCAAGCAGAATTTCCCTTGATTTTGTCCCTAGGCTTCTTGCCAAGATTTTTAGTTTGGACCCAGGATTCCAACCTGATCCCAAAGATTAGGCTTCTGGGGAAAAAATTCAGAAAGATGAGCAGGATATTTCTGCTGTCCCCTGCAACATATCTCCTGGGTGACAGATCACATATGTGAATGGGGACAAAGGGAAAAGGACTGGGAAAAGCAAAACCATGTAAATTAATACTTCAGAATATAGTCTGAAGTATACATTTATTCTGAGTATGTTTTTCAGGCTCTGCTCTGTGAAAACCGTACACACTATTCTATGTAATCTACATGACAGCCCTGTGAGTTGATTTTTATACCCACTCACTTGATGATAAACTGAGGCCTAGAGAGACTAGGTGGCTTGTGCATGATCACACAGCTCATGGATGGTTTTGAACCCAGCCTTGGCAAACCTCGCGTGGCTGTGGTTGTGTATTGTGTTGTCGGTACAGGTTGTGGGGCCTGTTGCTGTGCATCTAGGGCCAGTCTGGTGTAGGGAAAGATAGAGCTGGGATTGTGGATGTACCAACTGTGCCCATTAATAGCTGTGTGACCCTAGGCACCTCACTTAAGTTATCTGCACTTAAATTATCTGTAAATTAACGATGTAGAGCTAGATTCTCTGGGCCCCAGTTTCCTCACAAGAAAATTGTTAAATTAATAATGCAGAGCTGGATGGCTTCAAGTGCTCTTTCTAGTCCGGAGGTTTTGTGTGTCCAACCATCTTTTAAATCCCAGTCACCAAAGCAATTTCTCTCAAAGTGATCCCACTACCTCCTACACACACACACACACACACACACACACACACACACACACACACAATCCCCGCCCCCATCAGAATTATCTGGGGAAGTATGTTTAAGAAGCTAGAATCACCCACAATTAATCAAATCTGAATCTGAGTCTCTGGGTGTAGGACTTAAGAATCTGTATTTAACAAACTACATCTTAGGCAACCTAAAATGTATCTTGTGTTACTGAAGGGCTTGAGGGAAGGTAAGATTTTGGTAAGGGGAGAGAAAAAAAAGAACATTCTAGGAAGATAACTGGTTTGAGAAAAGGCCCAGGGACTGGTGTTTTGGGAGGAGTGGATAGACTAGTCGACTAGAGAGAGAGACCATATTGGTCAGTTGCAGAAGATTGATTTGGGAAAGCAAATGGATCAAACACAATGTTCCAGTGATGGGAGTGTTTCTGTCCATTAGATAAAATGTGCTTATCTTGGCAACGACAAAGAAGCAATAGCATATTCTAAGAAATTCTGTAGACTCTAAGCCCTTCTCTTGCTGATGATATAAATATATCATTTTATTTTTTCCATTAAAGAACAATAGGCAGAAATTTTTCTCTCTTACAGTTGAATTTTCACTGAGTATATTTTAATGTGGCTGCTCCCCAATGCCAGATTAATTAAGCCTCATCTCACCAACTGTATATGCTTTCCAAATTCTTGTGTAACGGCCAAGAGCACAGGGACTGCCTGGGTTTGAATTTCAGCCATGCCACCTGCCATGTGCCCTTGGGGAAGTCATTCAACCTTACCTTCTCACAGTTTCTACACCTATAAAATGGTGGTTATATTACTAGTCCCAAATTCGTAAAATTTTTGCAAGGATTAAAATGAATTAATATTTGAATATAGCTTATTTAGCTCTTCGTAGATGCTAATAATAATAATAATGATAATAATAATAATAATTGAAATAATTGAATAATAATACACTCAAGTGTATTATTATTATTATTATTATTATTATTATTATCATCTCCTCACAATAGAGCCTAGCTTGTTTTCAGCTCTAGCTCAGGAAATAGCCTTCCCTAAAATTTGCCTTAATCATCTGTTCTCCTGCACAATGGGTCCTTTTTCATACAGGTGCCTGAAGTTCTCTCTTCTCTAACTAAAATACTAAAGATGCCAATCTGGAGTCGAAATGGGGCAGCCAAAGAGAAAATAATAGGGCAGTCAGAGATCCATGACTTTCTGAGTGATTTATGTGCCTTTCTTGCCACATCTTTGTGGATGAACATTGTGGTGTGTGAACTTGACACATGGTGCATCTGGATGAATTCATATAATCAACATTAACTGAGTACCTACTCTATACCAGGCACTGTGTTAGGCAGTGGGGATGCAGAGATAAACAAGGCAGTCATGGACTTAGGTTCTTAAGGAAGTTCTCGTGGGGAGGGTTGCATTTCTGGCTTCATTACTTTCTCTTGTGTTACCTAGGGCAAGTCATTTAAGCTCTCTGTGCTTTGGTTTCATCTTTACATTGGTGATAATAATCGCATCTATCTTATAGGGTTGTTGGACAGTTACAGAAGATAACGTATAAGAAGTCTTCACATACATCCTGGCACATAGTGAATGATTAAAATTATGTGGCCATTATTGCTTTATCATCAGCAGCAGCAGCAGCTCAAAACAAAATGGTTAAGATTTTTTGCATTAAGTTTCATCAAAGATATTGGTGAATAGTTTCCTTATTTTGTGATGTCTGTGTGGCTTTGATATCAGAACAATACTGGCTTCATAAACTGAGTTTGGAAGTGTTCCCTCCTCTTCAATTTTTTGGAAGTTTGAAAAGGAGTGTTGTTAATTCTTCTTTAAATATTTGGTAGAATTCACCAATGAAGCCCTCTAGTTCTGGGCATTTCGTTGTTGTTTTGGGGAGATTTTTGATTACTGATTCAATCTCCATGTTAGTTATAGGTCTGCTCAGACTTTCTATTTCTTCCAGATGCAGTCTTGGTAGGTTTATGTTTCTAGGAATTTATTCATTTCTTCTAGGTTATCTAGTTATTGGCATATCATTGTTCATAGTAGTCTCTTAAGATCCTTTTTATTTCTGTGAAATTAGTTGTAATGTTTCTACTTTTATTTCTGATTTTACTTATTTGAGCCCTCTCTCTCTCCCTCTCTCTCTTTTTTTAACTTATCTAGGTAAGTGTTTATTGATATTGTTCATCTGTTCCAAAAAACCAACTCTTAATTTCATTGCTTTTTTTTCTATTGACTTTCTATTTTGTTTATTTCTGTCTTTGCTCTAGTCTGCTATTTCCTTCCTTCTGCTGATTTTGGGCTTAGTTTGTTCTTCTTTTTCTAGTTCCTTAAGGTGTGAAGTTAAGTTGTTTATTTGAGATCTTTCTTCTTCTTTCTTATTTTGTTTTGTTTTTGACACTTGGCTGTTATAGGGATCCAAACCCATGACCTTGATGTTATAAGTCTGTGCTGTAAGCAACTCAGCTAACCAGCCATCCTTTCTTCTTTTTTAATGTAGACATTTGTCACTGTGAACTTCTTTCTTAGTACTGCTTTTGCTGCATCCCACAAGTTTGGTATGTTGTATTTTCATTTTTGTTTGTCTGGAGACACTTTCTAATTTCCTTTTTGATTTCTTCTTTGACCCAATGGTTGCCCACCTTTTCAAGAACAAGTTGTAGGAGTCGCCCTTACATCTCTTCTTTCCCAATCCTCTCAACCTGTCCGTCAGCACATTCCATTGGTTCTAGGTCCAAAACACATCTTGAATGTGTTTATGATGCTCCACCTCCATTGTCCTCACCCTAGGTTGGTCACCATTATCTCCTGCCCAGATTACTCTCACCTTAAACTACAACTCCCATTTGTACCTAGAATTCACAGAGAATGAGAGCCAGAGCTCTCTTTCTAAAATCTAAATCTAATTATGTCTTCCTCCCTCCCCCCAATTTAAAACCCTCCAATGTCTTCCTATGGCTCTTAGGACAAAGTCTAAACTCCCACATGCTCCACAAAGCCCAGCACGATCTATTCCCTGCCCAGCCCCACAGAAACATCTCACACTGGTCGGTCTCCCCCTTGCTCACTCTCTTCTAGCCACATCGGCCCCCAGTTTGCTCTTGGAGTGGTCCAGGGCCTCTGCAGCATTTATCTTCCCTCCTCTCTTGGGGATGTTCTTCCTCACATCTTCACATGGCTCCCTTCTCATTTTTGAGTCTCAGTTCAAATGTCACTGCTTCTTTCTGGGTTGCTTTTTCTCAGCACCCTGCTTATTGTCTTAGTGTATTCATATCACCTTCTATCTTCTTCATTTGCTCATTCCTCTATATTACATATTTCCGTTTCCTTCCAGCAGGTCAGTGACTTTGCCTGTCTCATTCGTCACTGTATCTCCCAGTGCTCAGCACTGTGACCAGTCCATACTAAATATCCAATAAATGCCTCTTGAATGAATGAAAACATGAGTATAGAAAGACATGAATGGGGGCCGGCCTGTGGCTCACTCGGCAGAGTGCGGTGCTGATAACACCAAGGCCACGGGTTCGGATCCTATATAGGGATGGCCGGTTCGCTCACTGGGTGAGCGTGGTGTGGACAACACCAAGTCAAGGGTTAAGATCCCCTTACCAGTCATCTTTAAAAAAAAAAAAAAAAAAGAAAGACATGAATGAATGGTATTTATTCCTGCTAATCTCCCATTATGCTAGATCCAGCCCTGTACATAAATCTCCTGATCCCTTCTA